GCTGGCAACTCAGAGAATTTCTCAACAAATATCATGCACAAATGATTGGACTCGATGAAGATGAACTCAAGGAAGGGGAGAATCATAAAGAAAATCCCAAGGCATCAGAACCAGTCAAAGAAAAATGGGAAATTGTTAGAATCAAAGCCCCCTTCCTAGAAGAAATCCGAGAGAAAATCTGGCGACAACCTGAAAAAATCAAGAAGTTCAGTGAATTAAAGATGCGAGGAATCAATCACTTGAAAGGAAAATACCGAGGAGGAAACCTGTATATGCTAGGACACAGATCCACAGGGGAACGAAGACAAGTTCTAAATCATAATCTTGCAACAAGTGGATGTCCTATATCGAAAATCCTGGATATCACAGAAGACTACTTAGAAACGATTAAGTTCCTGATCTTTCGTCTACGACGTACCGATGGCTCGGAGTTCACCTGTCAAGAGAATGACTTCTTCCTACTGCACATGGATGATATTTATCAAATGTTCATGAGATGCAGGGAGCTCCCAGTGCACAAAGACAGACTTGCTAGAGAAGGTTTTGAGGCCATAAAGAGATTCATGACAAGACAAGTTCGGTTCTACGCCTCCCATGATCTCCAGATGACTCTAGAGCACAATTATTCAAAGGCGAATCTTACACGACCGGACTTGGATAGACCTGGGCTTGAAACCTTTACAGCATATTATACATTTGACAAGCCCATCTCAGTCATCTATCTGAATCACAAAGAAGAGAAGCGTCTGATGATTGTTGAAGACATTCAAAAATACTGTGATGGGACCCTGCAAATCATCCGAGAACAGCTCCAGCCAAGGAAAGAAGAGCTAGATAAAAGACAGAATGAAGCCTCGAAGGAAGAAATCAAAGAATTGGAAAGAGTCAATAAAATCTTGAAAGCTATTGAGAAACAACTTGACAGAAGAAGGTCTCTCAGAAATTACGAGCATGCACTAAATCTCAAAAAGCATTATTTTAAAGCTCAGAAGTGAAGAATAGAAGAAGCAAGAACATCTGATCACAAAGGGGGAGATTGTTAGAGATATTTTCATTATATTGTGATCAATGTTTCTTAGCTCATTATATTTAGCATTTTAATTAAATAGACTAGCTAGAATAATGAATAGGCCTTTTAAGGCAATTTGTAATAAAAGGTTTTATACCTTTTTAGGTATGGGCCTCCTAGAAAAAGGAGCCCAAATGATTGTAAAACCTACCTTTCCCGTCAGGCTATATATATGCCTTAAGGGAAAGGCTAGGTTAAGCTTTTCAATACATTCTCTGTGCCTCAGTGCCTATTCTCGTGTAAGGTTTTTACGCTTAACATTCATATCATTCTGTAAAACCTTCACCATCAATGGAAAGCTTCAAATCATAGATCTATCTTCCATACATACACATTCTAGACTAGAAAACAGGGACCTAACATATTTGACTCATTCAAACAATTCCACGTCTAGAGAATGATTTGGTCAATAACCTATAATTGAAAAGATCATTTTAATTTTATCTTAACCTATCTTAAGATAAAATTCCACGTCTAGACTCCTCTGCAGATCCCTCTGTTTTTAATTTTATCTTAACCTATGATTTGGTCAATTCCACGTCTAGACTCCTCTACAGATCCCTCTGTTTTTTTCCACAGACTTTTCCACAGATTTTACCACACATTTTTCCTCACTTTTTTCCAATGTTAGCTTTAATTTTACACTACAAAACCGAAGTTTTGTTTTACTAGTAAAGTGCGGATAAATTTTATGTACCTCAACAGACCTATTTATACTAAAAATTGTAAACGCTTTGTCTCGGATAATAACGTGCCAAAACCGTTCCAAAGTATTCCAGAAACTACCCTAACGTCTCTATTTGGCACGGTTTATTCCGTGCCAAATCCGTTCCAAAGGAGTTCTAACACCTCGGTAACAGAGGTTTAGACAATTATTACGCGTGGCTAGACTGGGACGGATAATTCCGTGCTAAAGCCGAGACAATAATTTCAAAATTAATGAAACCGATGCGGCCTCAGCGATGTTTACTACGGTGGGACGGCTTGTGGCTCAATTTTTTGAAGCTCGATACAGAGGAGTCTCGGACAGTCCTTCACAATTTCCGTGCCAAAGCAAAAAATATTTAATCTGTACTTCAACATTTTCACCCGCATTCCCTAAACCCCTAAGCCCATTTACCTCTGTGAAACCGTAACCCTACTCGATCTCATCCTTCTCTAACTCTACTCTCATCCTTCTCTTACTTTACTCTCATCCTTCTCTTACTCTACGGGACGATGACGCCGCCGCTCAATCTACTCCAGGACGCTGACGCCGCCGCTCAATCTTGTTTCTGAAACCGCTCTGTCATCTTCTCAGGTCATATCTATATTTATTTTGTATATTTTTATAAATTTTATATTCTTAAATGAACTCTTTAATTTATACGAAATAGAAGGTATTCGTTATGAACTCTTTATCAGTTCACAACCTTTCTATAAAATCGGTTATTTTATATGAAACGCATATATTATGTGAAAATATATCGGCGTTAAACTATTTTATTTTCAATATGTAAAATTTTAAAATTTTCCCATTCTTTCCTTAACTCTTTTTACGAAATAGAAAGTATTATGTAAAAAATGGTTTAATGGTTAATTTATAAATAAACCAAAATTTATGGTAAAAATGGTTATTTTATATATAAACCATTTTTTATGTTAAAATATATCGGCTTATCAGTCTCTTCTCTTCGTTAAAATTTTTTATTTTAAATATTTTCTATTCTTTTGTAAACTATTTTTACGAAATAGAAGGCATTCTTTACTAGTCAGTCCATTTCATTGATACCATTCTGTATAATAACATACTCAGTAGTATTATTACTATGTTCAGTCTGGATAATAAGTATGTTAAATGAATGAACTATAGTAGTCAGTTAAGCTTTGAATCTATGAACTGATTTCATTGTATAAGTCTGTTATACTTTATTCATTGTTCAGTCTGTGTGATAAGTATGTTCAATCAATGAAGTATATTGGTCTGTTAATGCTTGAATGTATGAACTGATTTTATTGTATAAGCCCGTTATACTTCAATTATTTATGAGTCTGTATGATAAGTATATTAAATGAATGAAGTATACTAGTCTGTTAAGCCTTGAATCTATGAACTGATTTCATTGTATAAGTCTGTTATACTTCATTCATTGTTCAGTCTGTATGATAAGTATGTTCAATCAATGAAGTATATTGGTTTGTTAATGCTTGCATGTATGAACTAATTTTATTGTATAAGGCTGTTAAACTTCAATGATTTATCAGTCTGTATGATAAGTATGTTAAATGAATGAAGTGTACTAGTCCGTTAAGCCTGTGCTCTATGAACTGATTTCATTGTATAAGTCTGTTACACTTCATTCATTGTTCAGTCTGTATGATAAGTATGTTCAATCAATGAAGTATATTGGTCTGTTAATGCTTGAATGTATGAACTGATTTTATTGTATAAGGCTGTTATACTTCAATAATTTATCAGTCTGTATGATAAGTATATGTTAAATGAATGAAGTATACTAGTCTGTTAAGCCTTGAATCTATTAACTAATTTCATTGTATAAGTCTGTTATACTTCATTTATTGTTCAGTCTGTATGATAAGTATGTTCAATCAGTGAAGTATATTTATCTGTTAATGCTTACATGTATGAACTGATTTTATTGTATAAGGCTGTTATACTTCAATGATTTATAAGTCTGTATGATAAGTATGTTAAATGAATGAAGTGTACTAGTCTGTTAAGCCTTGGGTCTATGAACTGATTTCATTGTATAAGTCTGTTACACTTCATTCATTGTTCAGTCTGTATGATAAGTATGTTCAATCAATGAAGTATATTGGTCTGTTAATGCTTGAATGTATGAACTGATTTTACTGTATAAGGCTGTTATACTTCAATGGTTTATCAGTCTATATGATAAGTATATGTTAAATGAATGAAGTATACTAGTCTTTTAAGCCTTGAATCTATGAACTGATTTCATTGTATAAGTGTGTTATACTTCATTTATTGTTCAGTTTGTTTGATAAGTACGTTCAATCAATGAAGTATATTGGTCTGTTAATGCTTGCATGTATGAACTGATTTTATTGTATAAGGCTGTTAAACTTCAATGATTTATCAGTCTGTATGATAAGTATGTTAAATGAATGAAGTGTACTAGTCCGTGAAGCCTTGGATCTATGAACTGATTTCATTGTATAAATCTGTTACACTTCATTCATTGTTCAGTCTGTATGATAAGTATGTTCAATCAATGAAGTATATTGGTCTGTTAATGCTTGAATGTATGAACTGATTTTATTGTATAAGGCTGTTATACTTCAATGATTTATCAGTCTGTATGATAAGTATGTTAAATGAATGAAGTATACTAGTCTGTTAAGCCTTGAATCTATGATCTGATTTCATTGTATAAGTCTGTCATACTTCATTGATTGTTCAGTCTGTATGATAAGTATGTTCAATCAATGAAGTATAGTAGTCTGTTAAGCCTTGAATCTATGAACTCATTTCATTGTATAAGTCTGTTATACTTCATTCATTGTTAAGTCTGTATAAGTATCAGTGTGTTATGATCTTGAATGATTTTTACTTAGTTTTAGACGTTGATGTCTGCTGCTAGAGGAAGTAATAATTCATTCAGGGGAGGGCGGGGAGGTCTGGGAGGTTGGGGAGGTCGTGAAGGCTCAGTCGACCAAACCCAAAGCCTAAACCAGAATTCTCCGGTTGCTGCTTCCCTTGAATCTGTTCAATCTAGAGCATTGCATGATGAACCGTCTGATCATATTGTCCATGAGTCGTTCAAGAATGGGTCCAAAATCTGGATCTTGCCCCATGAAATGCGAAGGTTTGATTAATTGTTTAATTGTATATTGAATTTCTTTTTACTTAAATACGTGTAGCAAATGTTTCCACATTACATGTGTAGCAACCCTATTGTTCTGAAGTCTGAACTCTATCATTTCAATCATTACGAACAACTTCCATGGGCCGTGGCACTCTTTCGAGCATGCGGATGCAGAGCAACAAGAACGGTGGTGGCGGTTGTTTGAGGTACATTTCAAACATACCTTTTCTATAAAGTCTTAAATATTTAAAAATATGTGTTTAATTTTAAAAAAAAACTAATAAACTTTGCCAATTATTAACTGTAGAGAAAGTATGAATGGGATGCATGCTACACGAGCATAATAAAGAAGAGGTTTCGTTCTAGGGGATCTGAATGGTTAAGCAAGAATATTTGCCCGGCAAGACGGCAGAACAAGAAGCCGGACTGGATATGCGATGGTGACTGGATGCTGTTGAAAGAGTATTGGGGGTCTGATTCATTCAAGAAGAAGAGTACTGCCAGGAAGAAGAACCGCAACTCTCAGAAGGCGAAAGAGTCACAGTATCGCGGTGGGCGGATTTCGGTCAGTAGGCATGTTAGTCCCCACTTATAGAGGACGGCGGTACGGGACGTGGTCTGAAGCAGAGTCTCTTTCGGGCAGCTTTGAATGCTCAAGCCGACACTCCAAGCCCACCCACGAGGAGATTGATGCCCGCATCCAAGCGCAAGTGGAAACCCGGTTCGCGCAGCAGGAGCAACTCTGGCGAGCACAGATGGAGAATATTTTCACCGCGTTTATGTCGATCATGCGACAAGTCCAGAGCTCTAACTCGTCTGTCCCGATGCCTAATATCTCGGCTTTGCATACCCCGACCCCTGTTGCTATGAATTGCCTGAATGAAAATGAAATTGTTAGGATGGATGATCTATTCCCCGACATTAACACCGATGGCATTGTGGGCCTGGTGTAATGTTATGTCGATGATGAATGTGAAACCCGGACATCTTTTTTACTTTATGTTGTTTCTGGTCTGGACATCTTTTTTCTTTCTGAACACCTGAGTAGGCCATTTGAAATTGGCCTGTATAATGTTGTGTTTATTTATGCCTTTTTTAATGATATGTGGATGAATGTTTGCCTGTTTTTATTTACTGTTAATTGCAATTCAATATTGTACTGTTTGATTTTATGTGATGTATGAAATCAAAAAAACGTATACCGTATATATGTACGTATATACGGGATACATTTTTTTTGATATTTTAAATGCTTGGCACGGAATTTTCCGTTCCAAAGTTTGACAATTTTAATACGGAACTATGACGTGGTATCCATACCAAATTCCGAGCCAAATCAATTCCGAGACAATGACTTTGGGTTTTTTATCTAACGTTTGGGTGAGAAAATACGCAACCTAAAACCGTGCCAACGTTTGCGTCGGAACTAACTATCCGAGCCAACACGTTTGGCAGGAGCCAGGTGGCACGAAATCGGGATCCGTGCGAAATCCGAGCCAAGACCGTTCGTCTGGGAAAATTATAAAGGAATCCCTTCCCAAATCCGTGCCTATACCGAGTTTCTTTGGTAGTGAGTTATGGGAATGTAAATGATAAAAGTGCGCAATAATGTTCCTAAAAGTGCATATTTATTTTTAGGTATGCAAGGACATTCTGATATAGTTATTGATACAAGTGCATAAATTTGCCATAAAAGAGCACCACTAGAATAACAAAAGTTGCACATTAATTTTCATTTGAATGAGAAAATATATATTATGACTCCTCCTAGTATTAGTTATTTTTTGATCATCAATTTAAGAAAGTCACATATATATCATTGAAAAAATGTTATATCTTAACGTGCACAATCTGGGGTTAAAAATAAATGTAAACATATAATTGATAAAAGCACAATAATATTTCTAAAAGTGCAATGTAGTAATTCTAGATATGCAGTTTTACCATATCATAATTACATTAGAGATAAAAGTGCATAATTGTGCTGATATGAGTGCACTACTAACATACTTACTTAAGTTGCACATATATTCATTTTCATATAAAGATTGAAAATATATTATGACTCATATCTGAATGAGTTCTTTAAACGAGCTAAACTAGATCACATATATATTGTTAAAACATTTATATCATAAAGTGCATAACATTTATTTTAAGAATAAATGTGAAGATATAAATCATAAAAGTGACAAAAATATTTTTAAAAGTGCATATTCATTTCTTTTAGACATGTAAATGCACAATTGTACGGTTAAAGATAAAAATGCATAATTTTGCAATATTAGTGCACGACTAAAATAATATATTTACATATTTCGGAGCTAGAAAATATTACCACTTACAATAAGAATTTCTAAAAATGACTAATTTAAAAAAAACAGATTTTTTCATGAACTAAACTAGATCACATAATATATTGCTAAAACATTTATACAATAAAATGCACATGCAATAGTTTGGTTATGAAAAAATTTCATAAAAGTGACGAAAAATATTTTTAAAAGTGCATCGTTATTTTCTTTTAGACATGCAAGTGCAGAACTATATAGTTAAAAATAGAAGCGCATAACATTGATATATGAGTTCACAACTAAAATAATATATCTGCATATTTTGGAGAAAATATTTCTATTTACGAAAAGAATTTCTAGAAATATTACTCATCTTAGGATACATTTTTTGTGAACTAAAGTAGATCACATATTATATTGTTAACATATTCATATTATAAAATGAGCAGTAGTTGGGTTATGAATAAATGTGTAGCTACAAATAATAAAAGTGCCAAAAAATATTTTTAATAGTGTATATTTATTTGATTTAGACATGTAAGTGAAAAGTTATATAGTTAATGATAAAAGTGCATAACTTTTCAATATGAGTTCACAACTAGAATAATATATTTACATATTATGGTGAAAAAAAATACTACTCACGATAAGAATTTCTACAATCCTCATAATGCAATTATTTGCACAGTTGTTATAATTACTTGATATCCTAATATATGTGTATTGATTGTTTAGAAATAACACTAGAAATACATAAAGCTTGATAATATTAATTTAAATAAATGTATTATGAAAAACTGAAAAAGTAACAGAAGTTGGATAAAAGGAAAAGTGAACTTATGTACGTGCAATTGTTCCACGTATGTAGTTTGTTTAATTTATAATTACTCAGTTATAATTGGAGAGAGAGTCGGCTATTGCTGGTTATGTTAACGTGAACTTTCTGTTAGTTGTCCTAAGTTTTGAATATTTTCAATTATGCCACCTTCTAAATATTTAATATGAATAGGTACCATAGATCTTTTGTTTTAGATGAATGAGATGTGTTCTTATTTCTCTCCTAAATCATCATTCTCACTTGAACCTCACCCTTTATATATATACACTACGTATAAAATTAGTCTTTTTTCTCGCTCATGTCTAAGGGCATTTGTATAAAAGCAGGTAGGCTTTCTATTAAGCGAAACAAACTCTCGCGTATTCTTTAGGTTTCTGGCTCTTCCTTGCATTGGACTCTCAATTCAAGCTCTCTTAATTTTACTCGCCGAATCCTTGAGCCTATAGGACTATTCAAATAAAAAAAACTCTTTTACTACTACATCTTTGGATAATTCTTAATTAGGAAAGAAAAATTAATACTATGAAATGATATTAAAAGGAAATGAAGTATGATTAATATTTTTAATTTTATTCGCATGTACTCATATTACTTTCTAATTATACAAATAGACATATAAGATGAAATTTATCTCAATAACAGATTAGAACAAAAATAATCTTTACATGCATGATAAAGAACTAAGTTGTGCAAATATAGTAAAATGTCACACAATTAATATTAACATGTGTTATTACATGCAGGCCGGATAGACTCGAATATATTTGGATTTCATTATAATATCAATTTATTAAATAGCTAGAATTCATGACATTTAATCACGCACTTTTATTTGATCAAAGACACAAGTTTGACACGAAATTAAAGAAAGACAATTCAAAAGATGCAAACACATGCACCTCATAAAAGTACAACCGGAAATGTGAAAGCCCTATCGGCCAAAGATACTAAAGATGTACGTAGTTCATCTATGGCCTAAATAGATCGATCACACGACTTTTATTAGAGAAATACAGAAACAGGGTAAAACTAACATTGGAAATATCATCAGGCCAGCTATTTTTATTTGTCACTTGATTATGAGTGTTGTCCACAAATATGTCCCAGAGCTATGTCTGAATGACATTTAGGTCCGCATATTGCATCCTCACAATCCGCATCAGAATGGCACACCCTTACATTCAGACAAAACCCTAACCTCTTCAAATATGCTTGACCTGAAACCATAAAGAAAATATAATATGTAATAAATAATAATACTCCGTAATAACAATAATTATAATAGTATTATTATTATTATTATTATTATTATTATTATTATTATTATTATTATTATTATTATTATTATTATTATTATTATTATTATTATTATTATTATTATTATTATTATTATTATTATTATTATTATTATGATTATTATTATTATTATTATTATTAGTATTATTATTATTATTAGTATTATTATTATTATTATTAATATTATCAATTTTCCTAAACAGGAGCACGTAAAAACGTTTGTAAATTTGAAAATATGACGTACTATCATGTTTATGTTCCCTAAATAGGAGTAATATTGTCATGTTTTAACATTACCAAAGTTTATACATGAAAACATTCATCAGACGGTAATTACTCCTATTTAATGAATGGAATTATGACAATCTTGTTTTTGAATATCAAAATGCTTTTACTTTCTAGATCTATTTCTGGAATTTCAATTCCATCCTTAGGATGTTTTCTTTTGGACTGTTTTCAGTCCCAGACCAGACCAGACCAGACTTCTGTAGTTATAAAATACATAGGAACCAGACGTTTACCAGACCAGTCCAGACCAGACAAGATCTGACTAGACCAGCAAATTTCAGTCCAAAAGAAAACATCCTTAATCGTCATAAATCATAATTAATGTCATCATATTATGGGAGCAATATATTCATCTGGACCATTTACATAATATATACATCACCAATTCACCATTTTTTTTAATTTAGTTCGATAATTATTTAGACTAAGACTTGGTGGTGTTGACTGTTGATAGTTTCCGAAAAGCTCCTTTTTATCCTAAAGCAATCCCAAACACATTAAGGAGTATTGTTTTATCCAAAAAACATTGTAAATGCCAAATTCCAAATCATCATTTCTCAAGAGCAAGTGCTGATCGAATGGCTTTGGCATAGAAAAAATTGAGTTTGTGGTTAAAATTAACAATTTTCTACTACGTATATGCATGACCAGTGGTGTATCCAGGATTTTTTGTCAGCGGGGGCGAAATCACATTAATTATCTCACGCGTCCCATAAACAATGACCACGTTAAGAATAAATAGTGTAAAGTCAATTATAAATAACAAAATGTTCGGGGGATAAAATATTACAATATCATAATTAAAATTTTCATGCCAGTTAATATTTAACTTTGTTCAAAATAAATTTTAATCACACAATTTATAATTTATTCATAATTATGTTGATAATAAGAATCAAATAAGGAATGAATCAAATATGTATTTAGAATTAATGTAATTAAGTTTCGAATTAATCAAATATCTATATTAGAAATCAATACTTTACAAATTATGTGTGAAAAAATATGTACTTATATTGAAGTAATTTAAACAAGGCAAAATTTGAATGTAATTACGAAGTATATGTGTGAAAAACGAAGTAATTTAAATTCGTTTAGGATCTAAAAAAGTCAGAAAAAAAACAAAAAGTCGAAGAACATAGGCTGGGACTCGAACCCCCAACCAACCTGCCAATCTCATGTATGCGTATCATACTAATCCAGTAGCTACCGTAACTTCTTGTCACTTAACTGCTTATTGTTGTATAAGTTACTTATGTTAATACATATTTATATGTATAACTTTTTATTTGATGTATGTATATATAGGAGTTGGGTGGGGGTTGAGTGGGGGCAGCTGCCCCCCTGCCCCCACGTTGGATCCGCTCCTGTATATGACAATATGACATTTTAAATAGTATCAGGTATATAAAACATGCATGTTCATTCCAAATATTTCCCTTAAAAGAACTTACTCTATATCATTTTACTCTCTATCCGGGGCATATTTAATGTGGGGACAGTTACCCTCAATACCAATCCAACCCCTGTATATATAATTTAAAATTTTGTCTATAATTACATCTTTATAGTTACACATAATAGGAAGTATAAATTAATCTTCTTTACATGTAAATTTGTACATTGGCAATTTAACCTCAATCCGATTTCACAATATTTATGATCTGATATTGTATATACGTAGTATGTGTGGCACGTGTGATTAAATTATACTCTATCCGGAGTGCAAAGTCAAAGAAAACAAAAAAGGAATCATATCCAAAGTTCAATATCGAGACAAAAATAAAGTGCAAAATCCAGTTCTCATGTACAAAAATGTTTGTGTGAGTACACTTTTGTTAATTTTTCTTTTTGATTGTCTAAAAAACTTTGTTATTTTCTTATTAAAGTAGTTAATTTATTATTCTGCTCATTTCTGTCTCCTTGACACAAACTTCGACCAACCACACAGTTTTCACTTTTGTTATTTTTCACATACTCCCTCCGTCCCGCAAAATAGTTCACATTTCCCCTTTTGGCAAGTTTTGTGTGGCTCACATCCATTTATCTTTTTCTTACACAACCACAATCATACATTTCCACTTTATTCCCACTTTCTTAAACTCCGATCCAAGTCAATGCGGGAACTATTTTATGGGATGGAGGGAGTATTTTTAAGTTGGCAAGATTGACCGGGAGTCCGGGACAAAGGTAATACTACAATAAAAATGTTATATACGGAGTATATGTTAGTAAACAAACCATAACGAGTGAAAAATAGTTGGCTAAGAGCGGCTGGTATGACTTCCTTCTCAAGCTTAGTTTGACTTGGCAATACCAACAACCCATTGTCTTCCTTGTCATCGTTCATATCAGCCATCAGTGAAGGGACTGTTAACAAATTAAAATTAGAAGAAGAAGAAATTGAAGAGATGTCAACAAATTAGAAATCATAATTTGTAGATCTGGGAAAAGGAGGAAAAAGTGAGAAACAAACCAGAAGTAGCTAGCAAGAAAAAAGTCAACACACATAATTTCACCATCATTTTCTCCATTGCCTTTTATTTCTAGAGAGAACTATGGAATTCTTTGCTTCAATTGGTACGTGGTATTTATAGAAACTGGCGAAGGCCGGTTACTAGTAGAGTGTAAGGCAATCTGAATAAATTATTCCATTATATTGTTTGCTTTATCGGGGGTAACATTGGAATTCTTTGCTTCAATATTAGCATGGTATTACTTCTCACAAATGATTATTTGGGGCATGAAGAAAAGTTTAAGAGTTTTTTCCATTTTCAATCTCCCGACTATGGTGTCTTTGACAATTTTGGTACTCGACTTTTAATTTTTCCAATTTTAGTCCTCAACTTCAAAATTTCTCACATTTAGTCCCTGAGTATTATCAAATTTACACTTTTAGTCCTCCGCTATGACTTTGAGACAATAAATGGAGGACTAAAAATGTCTTTTTTTTTCTCCGGAAGGCCAACCACCAAAATCAGTGGGGTAAATGCCGGAATACATTTACCAATGTATTATTAAGGACTAAAATGTCATTATTATAATAGTTGATGAACCAAAAGTGTCACTTTTATGAAAGTCGGAGGACTAAATATCTATGTAGCATCGATACGGGTACGCGGAAACGCGGAAACGGGTACGGGGATACGACAAAACAAAAAAAAAGTAGGTTACGGATATGAGACCATATTTATAAATACTAAAAGTTATGGGGGTGTATTTATAAATATTAAAAAATATAGGGGTGTGTTTATAAATATTAAAAATACATTTTTTAAAGACTCATATATTATCTTCTGACGTCTATCCATTCATGGCACTGAAACATTTTACATTTTCAAAATACTTAGAAATAAATTCATATTTTATCTCATGTACACTAGTGCATCTCAAAATATAAATATAGTCAATAAGTCATCAACTTAAAAGGAGAAATAAGTCAAACAACTATAGTTTTGAAATTAAAAGTGCAAGTACTCAAAGTTCTAAAATAATGAAAATAATAAACAATATTTTAAAAGTTCTAATACATATTTGCATTAGAGCTATTAATTTCCGGGGATAATTAGATTTAGGGATAGGAGGATGGGAGAATTAGGAATAGGCCCATTAGTTGTGTACCACATAAAAGCAAGGTAAAATTATTTTTAGCTTTTCATTTTTTAAGAATTTTATTATGTAAGTTTTGAGTGTTTTTTGGGAAGTTTTTTTTTGGAAAGTTGATACGTGTATCCGTCAGGATACGAGTATCCGAAATTTTAAAATAATTACCAAAAAAAGTGGAAACTTTCAAAAATTGCAGATACGGTCCGGGAACGTACGGTACGAGTATCCTAGAGTATCGGATACAGGAACGTTTCCGATACGCTGATACGACACCCTAGTGAAGTATTTGTGCTTCATAGCTAAATATAAAAATTTTCAAAGAAGGGTACCAAAAGTGTCTCTGACACAATAGTCAAGGACTAAAAGTGAAAAAATCATAATTAAGTAGCAAAAGTGTCAATGACATAATAGTCGGAGGACTAAAAATGGCAAAAACTCAAAAGTTTAATTGAGCAAGTTCTTTCTTCAAAAAAAGCAAAATTTCATCAAAAATAAAAATACCATATGATTGCGCATATCTAAAACTAAAAGTGAGTGATTTGTTTGGAGAGAAACCGGTTTCTTTAATATTGAGTCATTGGCAATTGAAGTGCCTAGACACTACTCACTAGACATTGGAGTCCGTTTGATAACACTGAAATCGGTTGAATCGATTGATTATGTTCAAATTTATGAAGTTCTGACTAAAGTTATTGTAATCGCCGATTCTGCTGATTTATGAAAAATTATATTTAAAATATATTATATTAATAAAAAAATTATATGAAAAAATAGTTAAAATGGTCATCTACAATATCTTCAGGCAATACAACTAGAAAAGTAACTCAAACCTTACTTTTTCTTATTATTACACACTTCAGTGCGCGAAATCGGAAGTTACATGTTTGATCAAAAAGTTAACTGATAAGCATGATAAGCCGAAAAAACAGTCATCAAATAGATACATGAACTAACTTAAAGTGTTCAATTAGCCCCTTATATAGGAGGTTCAGCCCGGCCATCACCAATTGGGGAGTTTCCCGGTTGAATTTTTTGATGAAATTTTTTGAGCATCTTCTTCATTAAGTCTAGTTTACCCATACCAAATTTCAGCTAAAAATTCAACCGGGAAGGTAGTCAAATGATTTTCCGAAATGTATTGCGCTGTTTAACTGCGCAGTTATCTTCAAAAAATCATTTGACTGCCTTCCCGATTGCAGTTATCTGCGAGGGGAAGACGGATCCCCAAGAACATTACATTAGGTATCAAAACAGCATGATGATGATGGGGGCCTCGGATGAATATTTATGTCGTTGGTTCCTTTCCACCTTAGAGGGGCCAGCGTATGAATGGTTCAACCGGTTGCCCGAAGGCAGCATAGATTCATGGCAGGAACTTGCCCACCGCTTCCTCACACAATTCGCCGGGAGGCACCAGTCAAAGAAGCACTTCTCCCACCTCCTGAACGTAAGGCAACAGAAGGAGGAAACCCTTCGAAGTTTCCTAGAACGCTGGAGGCAAGCCTCCATCGAAGTCGATGGAGCCGACGACAGGACCTTGATGGCCTTCTTCCACACCGTCCTCCGCAATGGTAACTTTTCCAGAAGCCTTATTACTGATCCCCCCCCCCCCCCCCCCGCGCGCGATTATACAAAAGCTCTCCAGCGGGGGACCGATACGCCGAGGCCGAAGAGATCGAGAAGGATCGCCGTAATCCGGAGCCTTCTCAAAAGCATGAAGGCAGAAATCGCCTCGGGGGTCCACCCCCTCCGGCAAACCGAGAAGCGCAGTACAATGACCGGCCCTGGAATGGCCAAGCCAGAACTGGGGGCGGCTACAAGAACAACCCGAGGGCTTGGGCACAGCCTACCCTCCTGGAGCACCCACGCACCCCTCTGACGCATCCCATCAGCGTCATCCTGGACTATGCAGAGGAAAGGGGCCTCGTGGAGCGAGACTCACGCGCTCCCCTAGAGGTATATGCCATCAACCCCAACGAGCCATATTGCCGCCTTCATCGCCATCAAGGGCACAAGACTGATGACTGCCATCACCTGAAGGCAGCCATCGAAAGGTTGATACAAGCGGACCATTTGTCCCAATTTGTCAGGGGCCCTCTTCCTCAGGGACCTCCTCACCACCAGGGGCCCCCGCTGAAGGCTAATAAATGGGTAAACCCAAACACCATTCCCTTGGGGAACCCACAGGGGAAGAAGCGTGAGATTAGGAACCTCAGCGATGAGGAGGATCCCCAACACCAGTATAAACGCCACGTCCACATGATTAGTGGAGGCAACACCGGAGGTGCACAAGCCAGAGGAAGAAGTGGGCTCAATCCCTTTATGTTGGGGAAGTCAACCACATGCCCCCAACCAAGAGGCCGAGGGCGGATCCTATCTACTTCACATATGCAGATCTGCCCCCGGGGTCTTTGCCTCATAGGGATGCCCTCGTCATCCGTGCGGAGATCAATAACACCGTCATCCGCCGCACTTATGTTGATACTGGAAGCTCCGCCAACGTAATGTATCTCAGCACTTTTCGAGAACTCGAGCTTGATATGGGGTCCCTTTGGCACATCAAGACACCCTTCTCCGGATTCACGGGGGATAGCATCGATGCCGAGGGTGTCATCTCCCTAATGGTCGAGTTCGGCGACGGATCCCACAGGGCCAAGCTCGAAGTGGGATTCGTCGTCGTCAACCTCGACTGCGCACATAACATCATCCTCGGCCGGCCTGCCCTCGAGGACGTGGAGGTCGTCATCTCCATGAGGCACCTTTGCCTCAAGTTCCCTACACCTATCGGCATCGGCTACTCAAGGGGGAATCAGAAACTCTCCCGGGCTTGCTACCTTCAACTCACCAAGAAGGTTAGTAAGACTGAACTCCGCATTGATACAATCACTACCAACGCCTTGGAAGAAGAAGAAGGCAGGCCGAGGGCTGAGCCTGCCGAAGAGACAGATGACTTTGTACTCGATCCGGCCAAGCCGGAGAAAGTCTTGAAGATTGGAGCCAAGCTCCCTGACGACCTGAAGACCGGCATCACCGAAGCCCTCCGCGCCTACTCCATTGTTTTTGCATGGGGGCCGGAGGATATGCCGGGGATCCACCGAAGGGTTATCACCCATAGGGCTGAGTAAGAACCGACCCGACAAAACCGATTTTTTTTCGGATATTATCCGATTGGGTATGGATATCCAACCCGCCAAACCGAATCTGAAATTTGGGCCAGCCTTTGGGCGGTTAACGGGCTGCGGGTAGGGTTTATAAAACCCAGACCCGATCCGCCCGAAAACCCGAAACCCCAAAACGACGTCGTTTTGTATTTTATATATATACACACTTATAACTTCTGACTTCGTCCAAACCCTATCCGCCTCTTTCTTCGATTTGTCTTCTACTCTTCGCTCTATCCTCTCTCTTCTCATCCTCTGTGACTATGGCTCTGTGAGTTCTGCCTTCAGTTCTCCAGACCTTACTCAGTTACTCTCCTTTGTCCTCTCTCAGCCTCTCGTACTTTAATTTACTTTGGTATTTTGGTGGAAGCTCTGAGTGTGTCTCGTGTCCGCACACAGAAAGACTAAAACCCTAATCGCCTAATCGGTGCAAATCGTTCTTCGCTCATTCGAAACCTATTTGGTGGAAGTTCTTAACCTAACTCCCTAAGTCCTAATTCTAGTCTCTGAGGTATTTATATCTACGGTTTTGTTGTGAATTTGTTATGTATTTATGTGTTGATAAATTGATAGTATGAATGTATGATGATGTTGATAATGTAATTCATGCTTAATACCCTTATACATTTGACGAGTGATAATGAATCTATGATGATGTTGATGTGTTAATGCTGAATAATATATGAATGTATGCTCAGTTGCTCCTGACTAAGTGTTAAAAAAATGATTTTCTGAGTACTAAACTATGCATATTTGAAATGTGAACTCTGACTCTGTGAGAGTCTGAGTATTGAGAATTCTTAAACCTGTATGCCTAATGT